CCCCTATAAGGATCAAGACTCTAGCTAGTGGACAAAGACCAAGGCGTCAGAAAGCGTGTTACGGTAATGCGTTTCTTTCAGATTAGATTCAGATACGTACCGATACTTTCCATCGGGGGGGGGGGGGAATTTATTCAATTATGCTGTCAAAGAAATATTTACTAATCGCGATTCCATTAGGGAATTGCTGGACGACGAATCCACGCTACGTAAAGTGAAAAATCTGGACGCACCGAGGGGGCATCGATCTTCCTGGCTTTAATCCATCATTCCACGACGTTATAAGCGGGTAATTTAAATTTAATCTGCCCTCCCTCCCCCCTTTACGACATCGTCCTAATAATCCACTGTTTATTGATTTTTATCATCCTATTTTTTTTTTCGACGCGTCTTTGCGATTCCATGGCGCGTACACCGACGCGTTCAATTTTCCATGGAACACACACAGGCCGTAGAAATCGATTCTGGTGAGTTTACGAGCCGCAGATATTCGTTAACACTTCGAATTAATAACTTTCGCGCTGTGTTAGTTACTTTTCAATTAGCCGGTGCCCGTTCTCTCCCCCGCGGATGATAATTAAAAGTTATTTTTATACGGCGGGCCGAGTTCCGCGATCACGGTAACGCGATACAGACAACGCTTCTGTGTACGCTTTATCGAACGATATATCTCCCGATAAATTCAACTTCGATCTCGTAAATTCAATTTTCCGAGAATACATCGTGTCCGTTACGGCCCAGGTTGCTCGTATATTTTAATCGAATCCGTACTTTTGTAAGCTTCATCTTTTACCAGGTTTGCTGCCACGCATGCCAGCCATTTTTCTCTTTTGTTTAAAACTGAGCTAAGTTATGCAGAAAGCTCACCAACTACCTAAATCCAGTACAAACTTAGTTTGAAGATTGTAATTTTTAAAATAAAAATAGCTTTATTTATATTGGGTGTATTTTACTTCTTGTTATTGTTTTATAATGTTTTTCAATGGTCTATTTAATAGTCAGTACATTATTCCGTCGATTACTGTTTGACTGGTACTACACGATTTTTGTCAGGCCGTAAAAACAAAGTTACAAGTGTCTGAATGATTTCTCCTGCTCGATGCTTGTCGCGACGTAGACCGGAGTTCTTCGACAATAATCGACGGAACACTGTACTATAATTAATATAATTTAAAATTTTGATAATTCAAAATAATCATCACGATATTATGAGATCCGTGCTGTGTTTACCTAATTTTTTATCGTTTTGAGGGTTTACGGTGGACATTAATTAAAGAAGGGACTAGATCCACCCGTACGAAGGGAAGCCGCCTGATTAATGGAACTATCCGGGTCAACAAGAAGAAAAATTATTTTCGTCTGTTTGCTCGCGAAATGAAGACAATGCGCGAACGCCACGAGATATTACCCTGTCGTAAAACTCCGTTTCTGTCCTGCACGATGAAACATGGAATAGAGATCGATCCCAGACGGTTACGCTGGAAGCAGACACACACACACACACACACACACTCTCGGAATCGGCTTAAGGAGGCTTGTTACGTTCGTTTCGTAACGAAATCGTACGGGATAGGGGGAAAGGGATCGAGTGGCGCGCGATGATTGCGTTAATAGACAACGGGAAAGGTAGACGCTGACTCGTAATACGTCGCGGCGCGCCACGGCGGTTCATTATTCAGCTCGTTTATGCTCGAGTGCACTCGTCGCGTCGGCACTCGTCGATCCTCGAGGCCCCGCATCAGAAAATCGCGAAACCCTACTTGCCGCGAACGCGTCGAGTATACCACTCGACAAAGACAATTAAGGTACGCAAGCGCCACCAGATCTCCTTTTCCGTAGCGTCATCGACAGGAGCACCGACGAACCTCCTCTTTTGGCTACCATCGTCAATGTTCTACATTCTCACGGTGTAATTATACAGGAGAATTAAGAAATTGATGTTTTATGACAGAGATACTGGACGACAGAAAAACTGGTCGTTTACTGGAGAGGTAATACGACAGCAATAGAGGTAAAATTGATAGAAATACAGTAAATTCTTGATGAGTGTTGGCAGAATCCTCGGCACTGATAAGGTCTCCAAATGTAACGCTGACTTTTCAATGATCTGCTTATAATATACCTTGTATAAAATAAGACAGTCATATTCGATAATTTTGTTTAACAGAAATGACACACTATTATAGACGAATGATATATACATATGTAACTTGCATTTTCAAAAAAAATTCACACAAGAATATTATGCAAAGTGAAGGAAATATACATTTATGTCGTAAAAAGAAAACAGGGGAGAATTTCTAATAAGAATTGATGTTGAACCTTTGAACGACAATACAGTAAATCCAAGATAAGTGTTCGAAGGCTCCTGGATGATTTACTGTATACTTCAAGAAACTAATTTTTCCTAAAAGTAACTAGCCTTCTTAGAAACTAATTTTTCCGCGCAATCCTCTATTCCGGCGAAAAAATCTCCCCAACCAAACTCGACGAAAACAAGTGTCAAATTTTCTATACCACCGACGCTTCGGAGATTCCAATGGTTCAGAAGTAACAATAACAACACTTCGACCATCGACAATTTCATCTTGTTCAACTTAACACTCGCCAAGTATTCTATTTTCCACATAATTACGAGAATCTCGAGAGCGTAGGTCGAGAGGAGAGCCGTGCCTGTTTCGAGGAGGCACGGTTTCTTCCACGAGGCGATCCGCGTACACGTGAAACGTTGCACACACCGTGGATGGCTTCACGAGATAAAGCTCCGCTGGAATTCGCGAGGGGTTTAAATGCGGAACGCTGGAGAACCGACGAATGATCGGCCGGAAGCGCAATTTGACGTGGGTGTGCGCTGCCTGCACAGACAAATGGATCGCGGCAGAGAGTCACCGTGATTCTGGAGCGTTCCACTCGAAACAAAAAAAAAATAAAATAGAGGAACGCCTCTTCTCGCTTTTCCGCCGGCGTCAGGCCGCCATTTTTAATTCACCTGCTGACACTGGACGGGGACAAAAAAAAATTGCTCACAATACACACACACACGCGCGTCATTACCGCGCCCGAGAACGGTGTACACGGTGACGCGTTTAATAATTCCAACAAAGACCCACAGGGACTGTCCAGGGCAACGACGTTAAATCGACGTGCGTTACGAAAAGTACCACGTTTCATTTTGTCTTACGCGGTAGCCAAATCCTATTCAATTGCGCGCGTATCTGGCAAATGTTCAAAGCAGGGATTTAAATCGGTATGATTTTGATACCGGTATTATGCTATCAAAGCTATACCGAAACCGATATATTTATATAGGACGAAGATACAACCGAAAATACCGGTATTGCACCGGTATTTTTACGTTTCGGTAGAAGGCCCTGGTTCAACGTCGACTTCTTCGAAAACGAAGTGTAAAAATAAAAAAAATTGTATTCCATACTTTCGACTTATTTTTTCACCTCGAATCACCCCTTGCGTGGTTATACAATCAGTTACAGGACATCCTGTATATTCTTTAGTAAATCGATATCCATAAAAATTGCTATGTCCCTTAATTCATGTTGGTATTTATAAAATGAAAAAGAATGTTAATACTTTTAATCGAGAAGCACGAGGGTCTAATAATCCACGATTCGTTTATGGTCACATTTCTTTCGCCTCTACCGATTCTCATCTGAATCTGAAAGTTCGACGGTGAGTCACGTCGAATTCCAATAGAATTTCTTCGCTGATTGCAGAGCGAGTAGTGTTCCCCGTGCATTAAACGGAAACTTAATCTTCTACTGTGTTTTCCTTAATTTTTTTATGAGTCCCCCTCCTCTGAAAAGTTTTGCATTTTTAATAACGCCCACGGACCTCGATCCGTTGTATCCTCCAGACGGTAAATATTATACCCGTTTTCGAGAGATTGCTCTCCCCCTCCTGCATTATTTATGGCCCATCCAAACTGAAGGAAAGTAGCTCTAATAATAAATCCTTTCCTCTTCCGTAAGTACGAAACATCGTCATCCGGCTTAGCCATCCGTAATACTGTTTTCATCTCTTGGGCCGCACCGAGGCGTTATTCTTACGGCCCCCGCGGTAAAGACGATTTGCCGGAGAATCGCGCCAACTCAGCCTCCCTTTCTTCACGCATAAATAGTAGATTAAAGTCTCATCGCGTCGCCAAGACTGTGGGGATACTTCTCTGGTCGCGAGCAGTATTTTTAAATCGCATGGAAATTAAAAACTTTTTACGAATTCTTCTTCGGTTTAAACCTACTCGTCGTTGACGAATAGGTTATCGTGTTTAAGTAATTGTTCGAGTAATTGAGTTACACTCGTGGGTAGATTTACTACATTTTATAAATTAACCATCGTCGTACATAACACGTCGTAAAACAGAACACATTTGTTTATAATTGTCCACGTGATAAAAATGATTTTTCAATTAAAAAACATATTATTCGAATAGGTCAAACTTCACTTTAGCAAATAAACGGCTCAAGTGTTGCAGATACGGACGGAATACGTCTGACGCGACAGTTTAATCTACTTGAGAGGCGTGCTCTTCAGCTATTTCACGAGCTGGTACCATTTCGTTTAATTTTCTTTCGTTCGTTAATTTCACTGGGTCGTGGATCAAGCTGGGAATCAGTTGTACTAACAGTATAACTGTCAGACAGTACTTGACGCGTATTTCGCCACATATTTTCAACAATTAATATCTCGAAAACGACTCACCGAACGCAATTTCGTCATTCTTGATTTTCATCACAGTTTGGCATATAGAATCCACCCTTGTGAAAGTGTGCCACATTTTTATCAACGCCCTTTATAAACAAAATCCTCAATTTTTAAAAAACTCATCATGTTATCGAAACATTTAACAAATTCGTTTGCATCACGCCAAACGTCAAATGTTCGTCAGAAGAAGACCATGGGTTTATGTTCTCGGATAGATAACTGTGAAGGAAGTACAAGAAGGGTAGAGGAACATTGTAAATCGATAAATGTTCTCGTTCCAGGTGACTTGGATCAGACGAAGGGACAGACAGTTGCTAACCGTGGGCAGGGACACCCATTCCGTCGACACACGGTTCATGGTCGTTACAAACAGCCCGGACTGGACCCTGAAGATAAAGAACGTGAAACAGGACGACGCTGGTCTCTACGAGTGCCAGGTAACGCGCATAATCAAGCTCTGTTGGTCCAGGTATAACGAAGAATGGTAAAAATGGTAGCAAGTAGCGTTAACCAAATACGAGTGAATTACGAAGTCACTGGGTACTTTGAAACACAACGGAACCGACACTGTTCCACGTTATTCTCGCGTAACGTAAAGAAAAATGGCGGACTGCAACGACAAACAATGCCGTATAATTTTCTTATCGTTGTTATTCGCTGTACAATGGTTCTTGTAATAACGAACAACGGAGCGCAAGGTAAAAACGGGGGACTCCGTTTTTATTTGCTAACGAGTGGTGTTACGCATTAATTACAACAGAGGGAACGTGCTACGAATAATTTTGTAACGATGTCCATTCTCGTTTGACCAGGAATTATTCGAAAAAATCTTTTTTTTTAATAGATTCAAACGGAACCTGTCCAGCAACGATTTATTCGGCTGAGTATCACCGAGGCGTACTCGATGATCCCAGGCGGGCCGGATCTTCACGTGAAGCAGGGATCGAGTCTACGATTGGAATGCCAGCTGATGGCCTCCGCGGAGGCGCCGAGCTTCATATTTTGGTACCGACAGGGCCGCATGATTAATTACGACGCCGAGCCAGGCGTGAGGGTCGAGGCGACGAAAAACGGCTCCATTCTTGTGGTCGACAAAGTGAAGCTCTCGCACGGCGCCAATTACACTTGCTCGCCGAGCAACGCGAAGCCTGCCTATATCATGATCCACGTGATCGAAGGTCAGACGGTTCGCTGATGCGAATACAGTAGATCATGGATTAATGTCCAAAAGCTCCTCGGCACTGAGTGTTCAGACACCATCTCCACCACTGGAGGAGTCTCCCGTAGAACCAGTGGTGGGGATGACGTCTGAATATTCAGTACAGTAAATCGTCGATGAATGTTTGAAGACTCCTGAATGTTCAAACGTCATCTCCAGCATTGGGCCATTGACAGGTTCCACGGGGGACCTCCCTGCAGTAGTAGAGATGACGTCTGAACACTCAGTGCCGAGAAGCCTCCGAACACTTATCGATGATTTACTGTAATCATTTTTACCGTGACTCCTACCATGGGTGTAGCCGGATTATCAGTCGGGGAGGGGGGCAAAATGTATCTAAAGGTAAATTTTATAATATCACTCTAAATGTATATTATGTTTACATACAGAAAACTAGTTAATATAATATTTTTCTCCTGTAGGACAGGAAGGAGACAAACTCTAAATTTCTTCCTTAGGGCAAAGGCCTCTTTTTTATCTGTAGGGATAAGTGCCCCACTCTGCCCCCTGGCTACGCCCATCACTCGTCATTGTTTAGCTACCATAAATCTCTCGAGATACCATATTCTTCTCCGATATAATATTCCTCATAATCAGTTCATCTCCATTAACATTAAGTCAGTGAAGCCTTAGTTTATCGTTATTATTCTGCAATTTCAATGGAACAACATTTTCATCCGCCAACACTCTTTGCCCGCGAATACGTGAATCCACTCACTCCTCCCGTATTTACACACGAGCATTTTCCAGCCACGCAGGCAAAACACGCGGCACACGGGGCTGTCTTCTCGTTTTCACCGTAAACATTCGCTGTTGTCCCACGCCGGGGACGAAAGTTAATTTCCTACTCGTGTATTCATTTTTCTGTTTCCTTTCCAGAGGAGGAAAAACCGGCGGCAATGCACGGCGGCGATCGGCGGAACGGGACGCGTCGTCCGTCCATCAACGTCGTGTTGATTTTTCTGAGTTTCCTCGGTGTACAGTGCACAACGCGACTGTGTCTCCAGCATTCGCGCGTCACGTGACCAGCCCGACGTGGTGTCAACATCGTCGTCGAATCAGCATCCGTCGGGTACTCGAGCGTTTCACGACACCTGTCCCGTTTACCGAACGAAAACGTTTCTCTATTTCTTAGACTCGCTCCTTTTTCTTCGATTCGTTCGTTTACTCGTGAAACGGAATCGTGCCAATGATTTCGTGTTCGGTGCACGAAACAGAGAAGGAGACGGTAACTCGGTTGGTTTAATCCGAACCTGACGAAATGCCGGCTTGAAATAACAATAACGGGTTTCGAGAGAGGAAACTGTGTCTTGCTCCTAATGAGGGCGGATCGCGATACAGGGAATTCGTCCCGAAGTTTCGAAGCAGTTCGAAGTCGCGTCTCGTAGCTCGACGGAATTTCAGATATCGCGGATGGAATTTGGGCCACGATGGGAACACTCGACCCTGTCATTACGGAAAGACAACGGAGAAGAGCCTGGCGTATTAATACCTGAACGGAATGGATATCGTTGAAGTTTCATTCTATTCGATTTCGTGAACCTGAATTCATATGGTATTTCGTGCGACGGTGTAATCCGCTGTGTACAGATTTTTGACGACATTCGTGAGACACGCAGTGTTTAGCCAGTTCGAATCACGCGCGAACATTATTCGAGGTTAGGTCGGCCGGAGACAAAATGGCCGACCATCGTTGTAATTCCACGTATCTAGCTTCTCTCTTGACGAAGAGAAAATGAACGAAGAAACTTCGTGATTTCTGTCACAGAAACCGTGAGCAATAACGTATGTATTATAAACAATCATCTATTTACCATCAAGAAACGTCTGTTTAATCTCTTTAGGGATACTGGCAAGCATGATTCCAAAATTGGAATTAAATTTTCACTAGAAACTTCCTCAAAAAAAAAAGAATATTCTACCAATTGATTGCCATTAATATTTATAAATATATTTTAATTAAATACAGCCAAAGAATAAAGAAAATATTCTTTCTGAACTTAACAAATTCGTGTCCCTGAAGAGGTTAACCACGCGAACAAGTACGATACGAGACTAATTATCGCGCATTCCATTCACACACCTTGTAAAAAAGCATTCCCCATTCCCATTGATCCCAGCAATCTTCTCAACGTCCGTGTAACCGCGACGAACGATTGTTCCCGTTGAAAAGCAACACCGTTCGTCGTTCCGAAACGCACGGGACCGTCTCCATTCACGAACGTCTTCGCTTGATTGAAAGAAACACGCAGCTGTTGATATATGATGGTGCACCTAATCGCCATGAATGCACAGATTCAAGTGTCGACCATTCACCACTTGCATAGTCACGTGTCGTTCCATCGAAATACATGAAAGGCCCCCGCCGCGAGATGTCGCGTCGGATAAAAAGTTGCTGCGTGTCGGTTCGGAGAGAAAACTGATGCGACGCAGGGCGGCGAAACACTCTTCGACGAAGAATTGAAAGGTCGTGCTCGCGGAACACGAAATGAATTTAATCCATCTAAAAGGGGTTCGCTATTTCTCGCGTTCAAGCGGCCGCGAAACGAGCCCGATAAACTTAAACACGCGGGGAACGCGGGTTTGTTCAATTTCAAAAGGGAAAACCAGGGTCGGAGGATCGGCCGTGTGTCTCCACCCTTTGAATGGAAAAGTCATACACGGTTACAAATACCGCACGCGCGAGCACACGGGCCTATTCACGTACACCTTTCTCGTCTAAATACCGGCGGCCATTGTCTCGGATTTTCTTTCAACGCGCCCCCACCCTCCCGCCACCGACGACGATTTTACCCCTTTTGTCGTTGCGGACGATTGTACTACGGAGCCGGTCCCGGTGGTCGTTTTAATTAACACTTCCACCACGGGGGCCTCGAGCAGACAGCTACGATCGGAAATTCGGCGCCGGACCGACCGCCAGTTGTCAGCCATATTTAGTCAGCTATATTTTTCAGTTTATATCAGTGTTTTTATTTACTACTTTTTTATACACTTTCTTGCCACTTTTCAATTAATCTCGTTGTACCAGAAAAACAGAAAATACCAAGGCACCGTTCACGTTTGCAAGTAAGTAGAAATAACCAGCAATGGTCAGACGTATCCGCCGATGGTTCCCATTTAGTTTGTCATGTTTCTACTCATTCAAGAAGAAGTCTTATTTCATTATAGAAATGAGAACTTCCACGTTTGATCGATTAAAAATGACGAAGTGCAACTTTTTTAAATCTTTTATTCGTTATTCGGAACTCTTTGTCTGAATGATAAATTTGCCCATCTCTGCTTTTTTGAGACCGTGAAATTACGTGTCATGGGTCATTCGCATCCAACGGGACTGTGTAGCGAGCGTAAAAATTTCGGTGATAATTTACACTCACTGGACATATATGGAGATTTGGAATATTTTCTTGTTTCAAAATAATGTAAACATTGGAAAGGTGATATTTGTTGTTGTTGCCTTGAATAAATGAATATTCATGAAATTTATGGAATGTAAAGAATCGTGACCCATTTATGCAGTTCTAGTATTAACATACAATTCGCGTGTTCTATTGGTGGAACGTTGAGGAACGGTCAATTACGTTAAGATTAATCACGATGTACAATCGTCTGATCGTGCAATACCGTTTGTGAGGATTTGAGAACCGTTTTATCGATTTGGAAACAGAATCAATGTTTCGAGGCAACACTAAAATGCTCACTCGATGTATTAATGTGATCTGTGTATATACATGTGTGTTAATTATAAGCGAGTACAGCGTCTAGCAGTGATTATTATTCGTAAGGATAATTGGGGCTTTCCTCGGTCGAAGGTCTACAGCCAATCTCTGTATTGTTTCAATATCAGGTAATTATAATTAAATTTGAACTGTTAATATCAACGTGCTATCTGTAATTCGTGTAAACAATCCAGTAAATGGTAGATCGAATTATCTAGTGACAGAGGGAAATCGTGGTTATCCTTCGAAACGAAAAATTGCTAAAGGACATTGTACGTGTACCCGAGAACGTTACTTCCACGAGATGCAACAGTTTTATCGTATCTTTTTACATACGAGCGAAAACATCGCGCATTTTATCGGGCGAAACGGTACGGGTTTCTACCTAGAGCGATTAACGATTTATCAACGTGTACTCCTCGCGGAAGAAGCGACGGTTTATCATTGAAACAATTACCAGAATCGATGTGCTCAGTATCTAATAGCGTTGTAGGATCTTGCTAGCCGCAGTTCAACATTCAGAATCGTATTAATTCACGATCGTAGAATCGAATTCTTTCGGATTAACGATCTAGGGGAACGTCGATCGGTTTTCACGTCGACGCACGTCTGGTTTTATTTACGTTTCTTCGTCGAATTATTCGGAGAATGTGTGGATTGTAAGCGTACAGTTTGGAACATAGAATAATAAGTCACGTTTTCATCCTCACGACACTACGACCTGCAAAATAAATTGAACATTTTGAATTTGTTGTGTTCATTCACTATCGACTTTCCGTGAACTCCCTCGACAGAGGTAAGTTCAATTATTTCATTGCGTAACAAACACCTACGATACTTGATTAACTTATTTTTGAGTGTCTGCTTGATATCAGGGAATCAAGAAATTTTTTGCCATTTCTAGATTTTCTCATTGTTAGACTGTACATGTGCACACTCGAACTGTTGAAAATACGGTTATGTATGCTTAAACAAAAGCTTATTTAACGGAGAATCTACCAGTGTACAAGACTTAAAGAAATTAATCATTTAAAGATAATGATTGATTTTGATTTACTCGGACTTGTTTATTTTATGAATTCAAAGAGGGCACCAGGGGCCCATTGGACCATCCCCCATGTTCCCCAGAAATCGCGTCTTCGGACTACTATCTTTTCTTGACAATAGACAACCATTTACCGAATCAGCGATTCCAAAATTCGACAAGACTTCGAAAGGGAGTTAAAGCACTTTGTCGATACCAAAGAGAAAAACTATGCAAAAGGAATAAAAAGGTTCTTAAATCGTTAGAGAAAGGATAATAGAATCTAAATATATCTATTTTTCTGAAGTATTATTTAATCCCCATTCTGTAAAATTTATCTCTATTGAACTGCACGAACTTTCTGGGTTACCTAATTTACCAAAAGACTCGCGTTTACCTTGAAGCTGTTCGAACAATCGTACAGACTGTCCACGGCGATCCCTCGTTTCAACAACTTCATCGTCGTGCCGAATAAATCGCGAAACTTTCGTTATCAGAAAGTCCCGCGATTAAACAGAGCCGAGGGATCGTGCTCGATGAAGACCACGAGAGGCGAAGGATTTCCCGTGTCGCTGTGATTCTAACCGTTGGAATTTCGACCTCGACCCGTGGAATGTAATAACACCGGTCCGCGCCCCGAGGGTATCGTGTAGCGAAGATGTATCTTCCGCCGTGAGCGCACTTAATCGCGTATTACGGAGTAATTGCATGCCAGACGTTTAACGCGCGAATTAGGGCCAATGAGGGAAGTCTTATCAAAATCGTGGCCGTCTCGTCGATCGGGAATTCATTAGAGTGTCAGGCAAGATCACGGTCGTTTGGTTCCCCAATTACAGAACGACCGACAAACGTTGTTGCACACGTTCGCGAAAGCTTTCCGCGACTATCAACCTATTCGCCATTCAGTTTCGAACGTGAACGCAATTACACGTTCAGGACGAGCCATTAGTCTCGTGAAGATACAGGGTGAGTCGATGAGGACTATTATAGTGTGTTCAGAAATGACAGGTTCAATTATAGGTTGTATGTCGTGAACAAATGTCTCAATCGAGATGAAATTTTCAGGGTATTAGGTAATTATACTGGCAAATTTGGATGTTGAAGTTTATTTGGAGATATTGTGCCAAAACAAAATTTTGACTGTTTGGAAATTATAGGTTCACTTGTTGAGACAGTGAATAGTGATGTGTGAGTGTCAAAGAACTTAATATATCAGGAAAGTTAATAGTAAGCCTATCAAATACTAATTTCCATGATACCAAAAAGATGCAATGAACGGTTTAAT